GAGTAGAGTAGAGTAGAGTAGAGTAGAGTAGAGTAGAGTAGAGTAGAATATGGAATGGAATGGAATGGAATGGAATAGAATAGAATAGAATAGAATAGAATAGAATAGAATAGAATAGAATAGAACAGAACATGATTCAGGATAGGATAGGACAGAATAACAGAATGAATATAGAACAGTATAGAATAGAATAGAGAATATAATAGAAAATAGAATAGAATAGAATAGAATAGAATAGAATAGAATAGAATAGAATAGAATAGAATAGAATAGAATAGATTTAGAATAGAACACAACAGAATAGAATTCTTTATTGGCCAAGTGTGATTGAACAAACAAGGAATTTGTCTTTGGTGTATATGCTCTCAGGAAAAAATACGTTGATCAAGAATCATAAGATACAACACTTAGTGATAGTCATAGGTTACTAATAAGCAATGAAATCATACTAGGAAACAAATAAAACAATATAAATTGTAAAGATACAAGTAACCATGGTTATAGTCATAAGTGGGAAGAGATAGGTAATAGGAAGGATGAGAGGAATAATAGTAATACAGTCTTAATAAATAAGTTGACAGTATTATGGGAATTATTTGTTTAGCAGAGTGATGGTGTTCAGGAAAAAAACTCCTTGTGTCCAGTTGTTCTGGTGTGCAATGCTCTATACATCATTTTGAGGGTAGGAGTTGAAACAGTTTATGTCCGGGATGTGAGGAGTCTGTAAATATTTTTACAGCCCTCTTTTTGACTTGTGCAGTATACAGGTCTTCAATGGAAGGCAGGCTGGTAGCAATTGTTTTTTTTTTCCTGCAGTTCTAATTATCTGTTGAAGTCTGTCTCTGTCTTGTTGGGTTGCAGAGTCAAACCAGACTGCCAAACCAGCCAAACAAGACAAAAACAAACAGCCAAACAAGACCCTCACTTGACACACTCACACCTGACATCCCCTAAATTCTGCTGAAGATGTTACCTAGCCTGATAACAAAAACGTTTGGGAACCAACCCACAAGCTCGGAAAACCTCATCCTCACCCTACCCCTGAGATACAGATATTCTCCACTATTGCAAACTTGATCTCCATTGCCGTGTCAGATTTAAAAAACATCCTTCAACCTGCTGTTTCAATGGTCATGGCATATCCCTGAGCAGGACACATCTAGGTTTGGCTTTTCTCCCCATCTCCATTCGTACCTGTGGCATCTTGTAGAGGTTCAACATGGTGGAAATCTGCTCGGAAATGTTAGACTCGGTCCCTTCAATCACAGCCAGTAGCCTCTTCTCTCTTCCACAAATGTAGTTTGGGACATTTGCCTGTCCGGTGGAGAGCAAGTCCATCAGGGCATCGGCAGTCAGTCCTGGTTCATAATAGTTCTCGTAGATGTCAAAGCCCAGGGTGATATTGGGCAAAATGTGAGGATTCTTGTTGATCTCACGAATGGCAAAAAGAAAGGACAGAAGGTACCAGTGTGCATTATAACCTTTGCTTCAAAACAAAAATAAAACCCACAACCACCTTTAATTATTCATTCAGAAGTTTAACAATTCATGCATTAGGGCACAGGTTGGATCTGAGACCCTTTGTAACTCTATCCTTGCTACTCCTACTAGAAGTAATAATTATAACACTAAAACATATGAAGAACTGTTGCAGGGACCTGGTATGGCTAGTCTAGAAAAAAGAAGGACTAACATGATAGCATTATTCCAGTATTTCAGGGGCTGCCATAAAGAGGAGGTTGCCACAAAACTTATTTTCCAAAGCACCCAAAGGGAAGAGAAGAAGCAATGGATGGAAACTTATCAAGGAGAGAAGCAACCTGGAATTAAGGAGAAACTTCCTCACAGTGAGGACAATAAACCAGTGGAACAGCTTCCTTTCAGAAGTTGTCGGTGCTTCATCAGTATAGGATTTTAAGAAGGACTTGATGACCATTTCTTTGAAATCGGTGGTGGGATTCAAATTTTTTTTTACTACCGGTTCTGTGGACATGGCAGGATTACTGCAAAATCCCATTCCCTTCCCACCCCACTAATCTACTTTCCAGCTCCGTTCTCCTGTGCAGGGCAACAAAAGAAGACCCAGCCAATCAGCTGGGACTCAGGAGGCAGAGAATAGATGGGGGCAGGGGCAGTCAGAGGTGGTATTTGCCGGTTCTCCAAACTACTCAAAAGTTTTGCTACCGGTTCTCCAGAACTGGTCAGAACCTGCTTAATACCACTTCTGTCTGAAATGATATAGGATCTCCTGCTTGAGCAGGGATTTGGACTAGAAAACTTCCATGATTCATTCCAGCTCTATTCTGATTGAGTGATTAAATAATACGGTCTCAGCCCCATTTTTGGGGAGAAGAAAATCGGTAAAATAAATGAAGAATTTTGCATATTTCCATGCAAAATAGTACAAAATCCACCCCTGAGATCTACTTACAAAACTGGTTGGCTAAAGAGAGGCTCCTTGAAGGTTGCTACCGCTGACCAGATTGACCTCAGGGAAACAATGCCACCAATATAGAGGTCTCCTGGGCGGTAAAAATTGTACACCCCATTTTGATCCTTGGCGAAATCAAGGGGGCATTTTCTCCCGCCAGCTGCACTAGGCAATAGAAGCAGAAGGAGCAGCAGGAGGAACAGCTTAGCTCGTATGGCAGCCCTCAGAAGCATTTCAGAGAGCACTGGTTGGACTAGAAGACCTCCAAGGTCCTTTCCAACTCTGTGGATCTGTTCTGCCTTCAAAAGAGAGAGAGAGCATCCAACCACAACTTCCTAGGATCGTAGGGAGTTAACTCTGCACCTCAAGAGGGTGCACGTCACTCTGAACACATTGGCTCCAGAGGAAGCATCAATTTGGCACGTGGTTTTCCAGGCAAGATTTATCAAATGTTGCAGCAGGTTGCTTGCTGCGTTCGGAGAATCAGGGATGATGAAACTCCCTTGAGGGTTAGAGGAAAAGAAGACCATGGTTTTCACAATTACAATGTAGAGTGCATCTATTACGCCAGTTTGGTCAAGTGGTTAAGGCACCAGGTTAGAAAGCAGGAGGCCATGGGGTTCAAATCCTGCCTTAGGGATGAATGCCAGCTGGGTGACTTTCTCTCTCTCTCTCTCTCTCTCTCTCTCTCTCTCTCTCTGTCAGCCCAATCCACCTCACAGGGTTGTTGTGGGAAAAACAGGTGGCGGGAGAGTGTGTGTTGTGTATATTCGCTGCCTGAGTTATTTGTAGTTAGTAATAACTGTGTATTACAAACCAATCAATCAATAAATATTGTGGCTTCAAAAGCAGTTCCAGGAAGGAAGAAAACATGTTTCGGAAACCTCACACATTTGACCTGTGTCCTTTGAGGCAAATCTGGTCTGCTCTATGCCAAAGTTTCTCGATATTTTTGGTAAAGCAGGAATCCAGATGAATGAGCCTTAGCAGTGCAGTGGTTAAAATGCAGTACTGCAGGCTACTTCTGCTGACTGCCAGTTGCCTGCAATTTCGGAGTTTGAATCCCACCAGGCTCAAGGTTGACTCAGCCTCCCATCCTTCCGAGATGGGTAAAATGAGGACCCAATTTTTTGGGGCAATAGGCTGACTCTGTAAACCATTTAGAGAGGGCTGTAAAGCAGAGGTTGTATTCAGCAGGTTCTGACCAGTTCTGGAGAACCGGTAGCAGAAATGTTGAGTAGTTCAGAGAACCAGCAAATGCCACCTCTGATTGGAGATTTTACAGTCTCCTTCTCCTGCCATGCCCACCAAGCCATGCCCACAGAACTGATAGTAAAAAAATTTGAATCCCACCACTGCTGTAAAGCACTGTAAAGTGATATATAAGTCTAAGTGCTACTGTGCTGTCCAGACAGTATAGGGGGATTGGGAATTGAGATAGTTAAGTTAGAATTGGGAGCTGTCCCCTTAAGGGAACGCCTCATGGTAAATGTAGTTAATGCATCATGGGAAATGTAGTTCATGTCATGTGCTCACATCTGTAATCCTGATTGGTCACTAACTGACCCTTGGTTGGGTTGGGGGAGTTTCCTTTCTCCTGCTTGGATCCCAGCAGCATGCTGGTGTCTCACCCTTTGCTCCAGCATTATGGTATGAAATGTCACTATGCTTTTACACTATGAAGTCATCTGTGCAAAGAGTTTGACATTAAGATGAATCTCTCGAGGGCGGAGCTGGCGTCGCGACGATACGGCATGCGATCTTGGAGTTCTGAGATCACTGTCGATATCTTTGCTCCTGGACGGTCCATGTGGATCTAAACCGTCCTGAAGAGATGGTGAATGTAAAGAGTGCATCCTGTCAATCCCAGGGATATCACAAAGTCCCTGGTATATCCAGGAGAAGCTCTTTTTGAAAGGACACCCTAAGGGAAAGAAAGAATCTGTAAGTTTTGACAGAAGTGATTAAGCGGTGATTTTAAACAGGAATGTCAAAGTAATATTTTTATTTTTTTCTTATTGCTGGATTTTTTACACATGATCTTATATTTTGAAACTGGACTGATTCTTTTTTTCTTGTCTATTCTTTTCTCCTTTTTGACTTTATAATATTTTAAGTCAGAGACTCCCTTTTAGTTATTTTTTAAATATCCTTTTCTTTTTTTTAATTAATTAATTCTTATTATATTTTGCTTGGAAAAGGAGGGGGAAAGTGAAAGCTAAAGAAACTTTGTAACACTGCCAACTAGAGGCTTGGAAATATTCTATTTTTCTTTTGACCAGACAAAGCTGAGAAAGAACTGAGACTTTGTTTCAAGGACATTGCCTGTTTGATAAGAAAGAGGGAAGAGCATGGGAGAGTGCTCTTCTGGTTTCTATCAACAGCTGAAGTCTGGTGTTGAAGCTTAAGAAAAGAAAAGGTGATAAGTCTTTGGAGAAGAGAGTTATAATCAAGAGCCTTGGATAATTAAACAAAACGCAGTGTGCTCTTTTTATTCTTTCTAAGCTGTGCTACCCCTCCTCATCAGTTTTTTTTTCTAATAGCTATTTGGATTTTTGGCTCTTTGGAACTTGTCTTTTTACGCCTGATTTTTGTTTAAAGGAAAAGCTTTAGTATTAATGTTTCCCTTCCTTTTCTTTTTAAGAGAGTAGTCTTTTTCTTCTCTCTCCCTTCCTGGTATTTTTGTCTTTCCATCTACCTTCCATATTGGTTTTTCTTTTTTCTTTTTTTGGTTTATTTTTATGCATCCTTTTATATTTGAGACCTCTTAATTGGATTAAGGTGTTGAAGAACCTGAAGAATTTTTCTTTTCTTTTTTTTTTTAGCCTTTTCCTTCACTTTTTCACCTTTTTTAGGATTTTACAACTTTCTCTTTTTTGTGTGTGTTCATGGTGTGTTTATGGTTTTTTCCTTCATTTTTGAATTTTTACTGTCATCTAACTAACCGATTGGATTAAGGTATACAAGAACCTGAAGAAATTTTTTCTACTTTTTCTATTATTACTACTACTTGGCTTCTTTTTTCCTACTATTTTTATTTGGAACTGCAATTGGTCATTTCACAACTGGATTAAGGTCTAGAAGAACCTGAAGATTTTGAATTCCTCAAAATGAGTAAGAAATTAACAGCTGCTGGTTCTTCAACTTCTACTTCTTCCTCTCCACCGTCTGGAGGACAACGTTCAATACAGACAATGTTAAGGCAAGAAAAAGAACAAGAAAAAGTGACTCTGCGGATGATTATGCAAGGAATTCAAAATATTCAAACAAGATCAGAGAATATTGAAAAGAGAATAGAGAACATTGAACAAAGAACAGAGAACATTGAACAAAGAACAGGGAAAACCGATGAAAAAGTGGAGAACATCCAACAAATGATGTTGAAGTATGATGAGAGACTCCAAAAAATTGAAGAAGATAAACAAAGAGACAAGAAGATTGGAGACATTGATAATAGATTAATTGTGGTTGAACAAGATAAAAGTGGTATGTTGAGATGGGAGATGGACAGATCAGAATTTTATCTTAGATTCCAAAACATAGAGGAAGAAAAAGGACAAAATCTAGCTGAGATAATGATAGAAATATTGGCTGAAGCTTTGGAAACAACTGAAGAGAAGATGATGGATGGAATAGATGAGGTTTATCGAGTCTTCACAAGATATGCGATGAGAAATAGCTTACCAAGAGAAGTTCACATTAGATTTACAAAGAAAGCCATTAAAACGCAAATATTGCAAGTGGTAAGAGAGAAAACATTGAAATACAAAGATAAGGAGATTGTAGTCTTGAAACAAGTGCCCAGAAGAGTGAGAGAGATGAGAAGAGAATACCGATTCTTGACCAAATTGTTACTTTAAAAAGAGGTGAATTATAGATGGTTGATTCCAGAAGGTTTAATGTTCACATGGCAAGAACAGAGATATAGAATCAACTCAATTGAGAAAGCTGAATCATTTTACACAGAATTCTTCAGAGGGGAAGGAAGAGACAGAAAAAGAAATTTAACTAATTGAATTCCAAGAGGACTCTCAAATGATGACTGAAAAAGAAGAAGGTGCAGTAGGTGGAAAGGGGGAAGTCAAAGAACAACGTGAACCAAGATCCACGAGAGCTGTCAAACCTAACTATAAAATATAAACATGGAAGAGAAAAAATTGATTACAATTAATATAAATGGACTTAACTCAGCCGTTAAAAGAAGAACTCAGCCGTTAGTTTCATAAATTAGAGAAATTAAAATTTGATATAATCTGCCTACAAGAAGTACATATTAAAAAACAATATGAACAATTGTTGATACAGCCAAAATTAGGGAAAATATTTACTTCCTTGACACAATGTAAGACAAGAGGAGTGGTTTTATATATTAAAGAGACCATCCCAGCGAAATTGATTTATACTGATGACGACGGAAGAATATTAATGGTGGAAATAATGGACAATAATACTAAAACACTCCTGATTGCAATCTATGCCCCGAATGATAATCAAGAAGAATTTTATAAAAAATTACACATGAAAATAATTGAACTGGACTATGTTAATATAGTTATGATGGGAGATTTTAATGGAATTGTAGGCAATAAACTGGACTATACAGCACAGAAAACAATAAAGCAAAATAGAAAGACTCTCCCTAAATCTTTTTTTAAAATGGTAGATGAAGTAAACTTAAAAGATACATGGAGAGAAAGAAATGCTAAAACTAAACAATACACCTTCTACTCAAATAGACACTTATCATGGTCCAGAATAGATATGATATGGATGTCAACAGAATTGTTAACTTATATTCAAGAAATAAATATTGAAACAAGTACTTGGGCAGATCACAATCCAATGACAATTAAATGGAAAGGACAAAGAAGAAGATCTAGACGGACGTTAAATAATACTATTTTAAAGGAAAAAGACTTTACACAGTGGATGGAGAAAGAATTGGCCTTTTTCTTTGGAGAAAACAAAAAAGAAGATACATCAATCCAGAATGTATGGGATACAATGAAGGCATATGCCAGAGGCTTGATAATAGACTATACAAGGAAAAGAAATACCATGAAAAGATTAGCCTCTAAGACATTAGAAGATGAGTATAAAGGTCTTGAAAAAGAGCTACAGAAAATGCCACAGAAAAAGGACATTAAGTTAAAAATGGATATAACCAAATATAAAATAGGTCTAATAGAAAAAGAAGAATTAGCACAAAAAATTAGCTAAACAGAATTACTTTGAAGATGCAAATAAACCTGGTAGATGGTTAGCATATAAATTGAGAAAGGAGAAAGAATCAAGGAAAATATTGCAATTAATAGATGACCAAGGCCAAGTTTGCTATGCTAGTAAAGAGAAAAAGGAAATCGTTCGAGACTATTATGGGAAATTATACACACAAGAGAATATTGCTGAGGAAAGAGTTAAACAGTATTTACAGAATGCTAATTTACCCCAGATACCTAAAGAGATTGAAACAATGCTAGAAAGCAATATAACAATGATGGAGTTAACTGAAGCACTTAAGAAGCAAAACAATGGAAAGGCACCAGGCCCAGATGGACTTCCGGCAGAATTTTATAAAACATTACAAGAATCATTGAACTTTCCATTGCTAGAAGTTATGAATGAAGTTATGTTAAAGAAGAGGATACCTAAATCATGGTCAGAAGCTTATATCACACTTGTTCCAAAAGAGGAGACCGATCCATTACAAATCAAGAACTATAGACCTATTTCCCTGCTAAACGCAAATTATAAAATCTTTGCTTCAATATTGGCAGAAAGATTATTAAATAATAAGTTAATATTTAAATAATTTTATCCATCCTGATCAAAATGGATTTCTGCCAAAGAGACAAATTAAAGACAATATGAGAGTAATCTTGGACACTTTGGAATGCTATGAGACACATCCTGAAAAACAAATGGCTCTGATATTTCTAGATGCACAGAAGGCATTTGATAATGTGAATTGGCGATTCATGTTATTACTGCTGGAACAGATGGGCTTTGCTAGAAAATTTATTCAAGCAATAGAAGCTATATATCATAAGCAGATGGCAAAGGTAATGATAGAGGGAGAACTGACAGAATCTATCGATATAAGAAAAGGAACAAGACAAGGGTGCCCGCTATCACCTCTCTTGTTTGTGTTAACTTTGGAAGTGCTAAACAGAAATATTAGAGATGAAAAGAATATAAAAGGGATGAAAATTAAAAAGGAAGAATTTAAGTTGCAAGCATTTGCAGACAATCTGGTTTTTATCTTAGAAGACCCACTAGAAACAGCATCAAAGTTGATAGAAAAGATAGAGACATATGGAAAAGTGGCTGGTTTGAAAATAAATAAAGACAAGACAAAGATTTTGACAAAGAATATGCTATCAAGACAAAAGGAAGAATTGGCAGACCTATTGAAAATTCAGGTCACAAATAAGATCAAGTACTTGGGGATATACTTGACAGCAAGATGTAGTACACTAAAAGAGAATAATTATATTAAACTTAAACAGCAGATAGCGCTAGATTTGGCGAAATGGAAAAATCTACAACTGTCATTAATAGGGAGAATATCAACAATCAAGATGAATATATTACCCAGAATTTTATACTTGTTTCAAACAATTCCAATTAGGCTTGGAAAAGACTA